AAATTAGCCAAAACCAGTTTGGCTCAGTGGATAGAGCGTCGGCCTGGGGACTGAAAGGTCCCGGGTTTGATTTCGGTCAAGGGCACGTTCCAGTGGGGGATGTGCAAGAGGCAGCTGGTCGATGTTTCTCTCTCATCGATGTTTTTAACTCTCGATCCCTTTCAATTCCTATCTGTGTAAAATCAATAAAAAATAAAAAATAAATTTAAAAAGTTTATAAATTAACATATTTAGAAGTTTTGTATATGTAATATCCTATTTAATCTTCACAGTGGTTGGGAGATGATACCTTTCTAGTTTTTCAGATGAGATAACTAGGGTTCAGAGAATTTAAATAATTATAATAGCAATATTTCCTTCCTTAGCCAGAAGTTGCATTTGCTTTAGAGCACTCTTTTTTCATTATGATATATCTATAAATATATTCTTTTTTAAAAAGTAATAGACTTTAATCAGTGTGGCTCAGTGGTTGAGCGTTGATCCCTGAACTAGGAAGTCATGATTCAATTCCCAGTCAGGTCACATGCCCAGGTTTGTGGGCTCAATCCAGGGGGCATGCAGAAGGCAGCTGACTGATGATTCTCTCTCATCAATGTTGTTTGTCTCTCCCTCTCCCTTCCTCTCCCCAGAATCATACATCCCTTTCACAACCCGGGACTGCTAGCTCCCAAATGCTCGCCTGCCAGCCTGATAATCCCCAACTGCAATCCCCTAACCACTCCCCTGCCAGCCTGATCGTCCCCAACTGCACTCCCCTCAAAGCCTGGTCACCCCCAAATGCTCTCCCCTGCATATTCACTCTTTATTAGATAGGATTATTTCTTTAACATATTGGACAGGGTACCTGCCGTGTCTTGACAAACGAGTAAATTATAAACTCAAACTGAAAATGTCATGAAATAAACTCCTTAAACAGAAATTTCGTTAAGACCTTAGAAAGGTGATATCATGTGGCTGTTTCTTCTTTTTCTTTTTCTTGATGTTGCATCTTTTGTCTTTTCTCCTTTTATTCAGTGGTCCAGTTTCTCTCTCAATATTTGAAAACAATTAAAAAATGAGAGAAAATGTTTTTATATTTGCCCATGCATTTATCATTTGCTCTTCTGTCATTATTTCTATTTTCTTACCTAAGTGAAAATATGCTGTGCTTTGGGTCTCATTCCCTGAACTTGGTCCAAAACATGCCTCTAGACAGAAAGCTGTGACAATTACCCAGCTAGATTATAGTCTATTTCAAATTAATTTTTGTATGTCTAGTTGTTTCGATTTTATTTTTTGAAAAGACTATCTTTTCCTCATCAAATTATATTTGAACTTTAATTGAAAATTTGTGTAAGCTCTTTTTTCACACTAATACAATTTTCCAACCTGTTTCATCTCATGGTACATATAACTAATTACTAAAATTCCGTGGCACACCAAAATATGTATTTTTTGTCAATCTGACAAAAAACATAGGTATAATTTTGATTCAGTCATATGGTTGGCTACTGTTGTCATTTTTTTGACAATCTAAGGGAAAATTGGTCAGTGCCCCTAATTAAAAAGTGAGTGATACTTGTCATGCTTGTCAGTAGTAAGCCAACTAAACTGAACTGATTGAATGCATATTTTAAAAAAATCTTGTGGCACAGCAGTGTGCCTTTTGCTAGTTGAAAATCACTGCATTAATATAACACTATGGTTTATGACATGGATTTTTGAAAGATTTATGGGTGGTTCTGATATGAAATAAATATTTCATTTGATTTTATATTCTTTATAATTTTTAAAATAGAGTGTTTCTACTAATTTGAATGTAATGTTATGCTATCTCATTAACAATTTAATGAAGAGATTTTTCTCTGAACATACTTGTCTTACAGAGACCTTTTAATAAAAGTGAAATTTGGAGAAAGCATTGAGGACTTACAGACCTGCCGACTCTTAATTAAACAATGCATTCCAGCGGGACTTTTTGTGGATCCATATGAGTTGGCTTCATTACAGGAGAGAAACATAACAGAGGTATGGCTGTTAGATGATTTTTACAACTATTAGAGCATTATTTTTAGAGGAAATTTTTTTAGGAATGCTATAATTTGGATTAAGGCAAAATAGTATGTAAGAAAACACTAGATACATTTTGTAAAAGTCTATCAAGTAACATTTTTAAATAGTATAGGAGTATTTTTTAATAAGTGAGTGATACTTGTCATGCTTGTCCCTGGTAAGCCAACTAAACTGAGTTGATTGAATGCATTTTGGCATTATGGTTTCCAGTTTAGTGACTAAGAAAATGAACAATTAATAAATACTGTTTCAATAGCAACTTTGTTAAATTAGAGAGACATACCTGACAGCTGTATAATTTGAGTATGAGAGGAGAAGAAATTAATATTTATTGGATCTCTATATGTCAGGTATTTTCTATCTTTCTTTTTTCTAAGAAGCAAGGTAAAATAAGCATAAAGAAAGATTATGCCCCACATCCTTTACATAGATTAATCTTTATAACAACCCTGGAATTATTATCTCCGTTTTATAGTTAAGGATACTGAAACACAAAGAGGCCAAGCTTATCTAGGATCACATAGGTACATGAAAGAAAAGCCAAGAAAAGAAGCCAAGGCTGTCTAATTGCAATTGTTGTTGTTTTCAGAAAGGAATCTTACTCTATAATTAAGGATTTCCCTAACTTCAGTAAGAACCACCTTAGTTAGGGTTCCCCTACCTTCATTAAGAGTCACCTGTTCAATTTAGTAAGGACTCGGTTGAGTATCCTCTCATGCACCTTAGTGGTGCCAGTTAGATTCCCAGTTGGGGCACATACCCAGATTGTGGGTTACCCTGGTCGGGGGTGCATATGGGAGGCAAACAGTTGATGTTTCTCTCTCTCCCTCCCTCTCCCTTCTCTCTAAAATCATTTTAAAAATAAAATCTCTGCCTGCTGGCATGGCTCAGTGGTTGAGTGTCGACCCATGAACCAAGAGATCACTGGTTCAATCCCAGTCAAGGCACATGCCCGGGTTGCGGTCTCCATCCCCAGTGTGGGGCTTGCAGGAGTCAGCTTATCCATGATTTTCTCTCATCACTGATGTTTCTATCTCTTTCTCCCTCTCCTTTCCTCTCTGAAATCAAGAAAATATAATTTTAAATAATAAATAAATAAATAAAATATGTGTATTATACTTTTATGTTAATAATAGAGAAAAGTATGTGCGTGCATGAATGTGTGTGTGTGTGGAAGGGAGTATATGGGGAGGCTGTATTTTCTGCTTTTTTTTTCTGTAAACCTAAACCTGCTTTAAAAATACAGTGTATTAATTAAAAAAAAAATGTTTTTATTGATCCTGGAGAGAGGAAGGGAGAGGGAGAGACAAACAACATTGATGAGAGAGAATCATTAATCAGCTGCCTTCTGCATGCCCCCTACTGGGAATTGGGCCCACAAACCTGGGCATGTGCCCTGACTGGGAATTGAACCATGACTTCCTGGTTCAGAGGTCAACACTCAATCACTGAGCCACACTGGTTAAAGTCTATTACTTTTTTTAAAAAAGAATATATCTATAGCTATATTATAATGAAAAAAGACTGCTCAAAAGCAAATGCAACTTCTGGCTAAGAAAGGAAATATTGCTATTATAATTCCTGAGTATTTTTCCAAAGGCAACTAATGTGATGAATGGTTTGGAAACCAAGTCATGAGAAATGGGGAGAACTGTGAATATTTCTTTGGGGAAGAGAAGATGTGGTAGAGGCAGCATCATTGAGGACCTCTGATGTTTGAGGAATCTTAGTGAAATAGGGAACAGATTTACTGAATATATTATAAACACAGATAATTGGTGATTGTTATAGGCCAGAGCATCAAGTTTCTTCTCAGAGAAAAAGAATAACCTTTTAATAGTAGATAAAATGAGACGACTCAGTCATTGAAAGTAATCAATTAGTGGCTGGTTACTTGAAAAACATACCCTCATTGAGATGGTGGATTAATTTGATCATCTCCGAAGTTCCTTATGACTTATTAGATATATAATTCCTTGATCTTTGCCAATAAGTTCAACAACTTGTGTGTGAGTGTGTGTGTATATATAAATATATATATATGTTTGCTCTTTAATATATCAATATGTATGCATGCATATATACATTTGCATGTGCATATTATAATTCGGGGTTAATTTCTATCACACGTGCAGTTTTACTTTTGGTATAGAATACTTATTTTAAAATATTTTTTATCATATTATTTTTTTAAGGAGTAATTTACTATTTTTTCCATTACCTTTTATACCCAGTATAAAAAGAGTGCTGACCTTTGCTTTGACTTCCTGACCACAGTGATCTATCTCTCTACCACCTTACTTGCTTCTCTGAAGAACAGGAAATTACCAGAATGATACCAATCATTTTTACCCACTGCTGGGTTAACTGTTTTGTTTTTGTTTTTTGTCATAATTTTCATACTTATTGAACAATGCTACACTTATTCACAAAATTTCTCATTTCTTGGTACCTGTTGTATAACCTAAACAAAGGTTGATAATTTTTATTGTGGGAAAATTTTCTAGTTTCCTTTTAGTAAACAAGCTTTTATTAAACATAGATCACATCTTATGTTTTCTTAACTTGAGGATGGAAGGGGAATGGAAATTGTTTATAAGGGGGATGAATTTTAAAATCTTTTCACCTGTATAGCAGTCTTCTGGTTTATTTTTTATTTTTTATTTTTATTTTATTTTATTGATTTTTTACAGAGAGGAAGAGAGAGGGATAGAGAGTTAGAAACATCCATGAGAGAGAATCATCGATCAGCTGCCTCTTGCACACCCCCTATCGGGGATGTACCGCAAACAAGGTACATGCCCTTGACCAGAATCGAACCTGGGACCTTTCAGTCTGTAGGCCGATGCTCTATCCACTGAGCCAAACCGGCTAGTTTTGTTTTTTAAATCTTCCTTATTTGTTTTTTTCTCTTGGATTAATATTTGTTTTTGTTTTGACAGGCAGTCATGGTTTCAGAAAATTTTAATATAGAAGCTCCCAATTATTTGTCCAAGGAATCTGAAGTTCTCATTTATGCCAGACAAGATTCACAGTGCATTGATTGTTTCCAAGCTTTTTTACCTGTGCACTACCGCTATCATCGGCCACATAGTAAAGATGGAGAAACCTTTATTGTGGTCAGTAACCCTGATTTACTGATGTATTGTGACCAAGGTAAGGGTTGCACATCTTTTCTGAGGGTTGAAAATAAAAATAAAGGTATGGTGGCAGGTCTGAAATCAAGGGATAACAAAAGCATGTTTCTTTTTTCTTTTTAACTTTTTGGTTGTAAAATAGGGCATAGATATGGAAAAACTTCACAAATATGTAGTTTAGTGAGTTATTATAAGGCAGATGTTCTTGAAATTACCACACAGGTCAGAAATAGCACTTTGCCTATCTAGCAGCAGCTCCATGTATCATCTCTCAAACATAGTCTTCTCCTTTCTCCTAAGACTAAACCCACTATCCTGACAATCACTTCCTTTTATTTATTTATTTAATATATTTTTATTGATTTCAGAGAGAAAGGAGAGAGAAACATCAATGATGAGAGAGAATCAAGTCCTCTAGTGGGGATTAAGCCTGCAACCCTGGCATGTGCCCTTGACCAGGATCGAATCTGGGACCCTTCAGTCTGCAGGCCAACGCTTTATCCACTGAGCTAAACCAATCGCCAGACTGTGGTTCGTGAGCCACATAGGGCTCTTTGGTCCCTTGGGTATGGCTCTTCCACAAAATGCCATGTGTAGGCGCACACGTACAGTGCGATTGAAACTTCGTGGCCCATGTGCAGAAGTCGGTTTTCGGCTCTCAAAAGAAATTTCAATTGTTATACTGTTGATATTTGGCTCTGTTAACTAATGAGTTTGCTGACCTTTGAACTAGGGCAACTATTTCCTTTTATTATATATCTATATATATACACACAAACACACACACACACACACACACACACACTCTGAGTGGCCAGATTATTATGATCTCTGAACACATAATAATCTGGCCACTCTGTATATATCCTATATAATAAAAGGCTAATATGCAAATTGTCCCCTAAATCAAGAGTTTGACCAGCAGGCAGGCTGGCCAATCGCCCATATTCCTCCCCCCTCCCGGCCAGGCTGGCCGGACCCCACCCATGCACGAATTCATGCACCGGGCCTCTAATACACACACACACACACACACACACACACACACACACAAAGTGGCCAGGTTATTATGTATATATATATAAACTATACTAGAGGCCTGGTGCCTGGATTTGTGCACAGGTGGGGTCCAGCCTCCTGCCCCGATGGGGGCTGACCAGGTCAGTGTGGGGGGGCATAAGAGGTTGGGGGCCATTTGGGGCCCTAATTGGGCTGGTTGGCCACTGCAGTGCACGTCATAGCGACCAGATATTCCAGTAGTTCTGTTGTTCCAGTCGCTTGGCTTTTATATATATCCTATATAATAAAAGGCTAATATGCAAATTGTCCTCTCAGGAATTTGACCAACAGGGAGTTTGACTGCTCGCTATGATGTCTGCTGACCACTCAGGGGTGGCATGGAATGAAGGAAGGCCCCAGCTGGCAGTCAGGGGAAGGAAGACCCTGGCCAGTAGTCAGCAGCCCAAAGGCCCCGATCGGCCCTGATCGCCAGCTAGGCCCTACCCTTGCATGAATTTCGTGCACTGGGCCTCTAGTAGATATATGAAAGCCTAAGTGACCGAACGACCCGTTGACCAGTCACTATGACACACACTGACCTCCAAGGGGCGGACACTCAACCCTGGTGGTCATTGTGCTCCCACAGACAACCTCCTGTGGCTGGCCAACCCTCTGAGGTCCCTCCCCCAGGCTGGCCGCCCTAATCAGCCTCCTCCACCGGCCAGGCCGAGGGACCCCACCTGTGCACAAATTCATGCACCAGGTCTTGTGTGTGTGTGTGTGTGTGTGTGTGTGTGTGCGTGCGCATGCACACTTCTGTGTATACACATACATATACACACACACACGTACACAAGTATTATTTCAGAGAGAGGAAGGGAGAGGGAGAAAGCTAGAAACATCAATGAGAATAATCTGCTGCCTCCTGCACACCTCCTACTGGGCATGAGCCCACAGTCCCCACATATGCTCCAATCAGGAATCGAACTGTAATGTGATCTGGTTCATGGATCAGCACTCAACCACTGAGTCACACTGGCTGGGCCCTTATATTTATTTATACTTTTATCACCCAAGTATATGGATGATATGATACACTATAGCTTTGTCTTGCCCATTTAGCATTTTTCTCAGAGTCGGGGTTTTGGTGATAGTAACCATGCAGTTCATGTGACCTCTTCCTGGAAATTGGCACCTGGCTCCAGGGCTGTGATTAGATTCAGGTTTGTTTCTTTGGGCAAGTGCTGTGTTTTATAAGGAGGTGTATGATGTTTGGTGTGCTTCTATTTTCAGCATTGATCCTCATTGCCCCTTTGCTGCTTTTTGTTTATTCAACTTATTACTGTTGGTATTTTGTTTACACTTGCATGTATTTGGTGATGAGGGTACTTTATTACCTAGTTTTCCTATAAACAGTCCATGAGTTTTTGGTTTTGTGTAGATTTGAGTAAGTATTTAAAATTTTGCTTTTACCATTCTCATTTTGTTAAGAATGAAAACTTTTTTTAAAATTAATTTATTTTTTTAATTAAAAAAAATATTTTATTGATTTTTTACAGAGAGGGAGAGAGATAGAGAGCTACAAACGTCGATGAGAGAGAAACATCGACCAGCTGCCTCTTGCACACCCCTACCGAGGATGTGCCCGCAACCAATGTACATGCCCTTGAATGGAATCAAACCCGGGACCTTTCAGTCTGCAGACCGACACTCTACCGCTGAGCCAAACCGGTTTTGGCTATTTTTAAAAATGTTTTATAATTTTTTTACAAGAGGAAGAGAGAGGGATAGAGAGTTAGAAACATCGATGAGAGAAAATCATCAATCAGCTGCCTCTTGCACACCCCCTACTGGGGATGTGCCCACAACCAAGGTACATTCCCTTGACCAAAATCGAACCTGGGACCCTTAAGTTTGCAGGCCGACGCTCTATCCACTGAGCCAAACCGGTCTCGGCAAGGATGAAAACTTTAAGAAACCCTTTTCAGATTTTTGGCTCTTGGTGCCTCCATAATTGGGTTGATTTGAATGTTTGCAAAAGTTTAGTAGCACTGTTACTAAAGACTGGCAGATAGGAAGTTTTCAATTCATACATTTGCTGCTGTCATATATTTCATGGTGAAAAAATAAAAAAGTGTTCAACTATGTTAGCTTTGTTCATCCAACCTAGTTTTCTGTTTCTACTAATGATATTGACTTGTCTTAAATAAAGTTTAAAAATGTGTTCTTTTCTGAAAGAGCATCTGGGGTTCTAGTGTTATTCGGGTTTTGGTCTGAAAGCTCTTTATGGGTGTGTTTACACCTGGAAATTTATTGAGTTGGATGCTTAGGACCTGTTTACTGTTCTAAATATGTGTTATACTTCAAGAAAAAGTTTAAATTAAAATACTTAAATAGTGGCCTCTAGTATAATGGGATTTGTTAAGAAATCATGCACAGTCTTTGTAATTTCATAATTTCTTAGGCATTCACTTAAATCAGGCTGTTAAAATAAAACAAGTACATTGTGTATTAAAATGCTTGAATACTCATATTACAACATGACAAATTGCCCTAGCCTCTAGTCCAGATTAAAGTTTTGTGACATGATCTTCAACCACTTTTTCTCAGAGTTTCCAATTTTGAAATGCTGGGCTCAGTCAAAAGTGGCAGCTCCTTGTGCTCTGAAGAATAAGGATATTTGCCAATGGAACAATATGAAATATAAATCAGTAAGTTAGTATTTCATATTTTTAGATTGTACTATTTCATTTAAAATTCTTTATGTAATGTTTCTGCCACATTTAAGGCATTAGAATTTTATATTTTACCATAGAAAACTGTTTTGGGGTGTTTTTTTTGTAATGTCATTTCTTTGCTGCAGATGACAGTGGTTCCTCCTTTATATAGAATCATTTGAGGGCTAGAGATTTAGTGTTAGTCCCATGTCTCATTGGTCCAGAGCTTAAGTATAGATGATAAGGCGATTTAAATGTGTGAAATGGCCAAGAAAAACAGTGGTACATCCATAAGGTATAAACTTTATTTAGAACTTTTTATTAATTTTTGAACAAATAAATTAGTTAACTTCATTGTATTACAAAGAACAAGTGAAAAAAAGGATAATAAAACTCAAATTAGTATTATTTCAACTGTGTTAGTTTTTAGACAGTTTTCTTCTTACCTTCTTATGTTAACGCTAAAGGCCCATTGCACAAATTCATGGACACGTAGGGTCCCTCAGCTTGGCTGGCGATTGAGGCCTATTGGTGGGCCAGCTGGCTGCGGGGAGGGACCATGGTAGGTTGGCGGGCCGCAAGCGGTTGGCTGTGGGAGCGCACTGACCACCAAGGGGCAGCTCCTGCATTGAGCACCTGCCCCCTGGTGGTCAGTGGGCATCATAGCGACTGGTCGACCGGTTGTTCCAGTCATTCAGTCTTAATGGTCACTTAGGCTTTTATTTATATAGTCTACTTTTTTCCTCTCTTCAGAGTAGTTAAGTTTTTTCCCTATTGATTTTTAAAGGAAGTGAGAGGCAGGAGAGAGAACATCTATGTGAGAGAGAAACATCAACCGGTTGCCTCACACACACACCCCTAGGAGTCAGGGATCAAACCTGCAACTGAGGTACATGTCCTTGCCCTGGAATCGAACTCAAGAATTGATGCCCTAACCACTGAGCAACCAGCCCCTCTCCTTGGAGGTCGGGGGTGGGACTGAAAGTTCCAACTCTCTTAACACATGGTTGACTCCATTGGCAACCAGTCCTCATCCTTAGGTGCTTTCCAGATCTACTTTACCAACATAAAAGACACCATGCTTATTCTTAACACTTAGGAAATTCCAACAGTTTGGGGAGCTTTGAGCCAGAAAGGGAATGAAAACCAAATATGTATGTCTTATATAAAACACAATATCACACATGTTACCATAATTTTTTTTATATATATATTTTATTGATATTTCATGGAGAGGAGGAAGGGAGAGAGAGAGAGCTAGAAACGCCAATGAGAGAAACATCAACCAGCTGCCTCTTGCACATCCCCCACCGGGAATGTGCCGGACGGGAATCGAATCTGGGACCTTTCAGTCCGCAGACCGATGCTCTACCACTGAGCCAAACCGGCTTTGGCCATGTTACCATAATTTTTTTCAAACTCTAAAGTACATCTGGAGAATAACATTTAAGAGTATGTGAATGAAGAATATGATTAGTGTTTATGATTTATTGATTTAAAAATTGGAAGTGTACAGATATGCACGGCGCCTCCGGTGACGGTGGTAGCCTAGTAAACAACTGCAGCTGTCTAGGAGAGCTGTTTTAGTTTGTGACGTACCGGCTGGCAGGCCTTCTTAATGAATGACAAGGCGGAGGATGGCGGAATGAATAGTCAGGATGGTGGAGAGAAATCGCTCAAAAAGCGACTGCGGGAAGGTGTCGGAGGCCATAAAAAAAAAAAAAAAAAAAAAAAGCGACTGCGCATGCGCGCCCTGGGTTATCCAGGGTCCCCGAGCGGCGCCGGCGCCAGCGCGCAGTCGCCAAAGAGGAAAAAGAAATTGGTAGTGTGCATTGCTGTAAAATAAGTAATTACCCTGTTAGAATATTTTGAATTCAGTTCTCTTTAAGACCATGTGACTTGAAATAAGAAATCATACTTAAGCTATTTGATTTTTTTTTATAAATACATTTTATTGATTTTGTACAGAGAGGAAGGGAGAGAGATAGAGAGTTAGAAACATCGATGAGAGAGAATCATCGATCAGCTGCCTCTTGCACACCCCCTACTGGGGATGTGCCCGCAACCATTGTACATGCCCTTGACCGGAATCGAACCCCGGGACCCTTCAGTCCCCAAGCCGACGCTCTTTCTATTGAGCCAAACCAGTCTCGGCTGATTTTTTTTTTTCTTTACTTTGAGTAATAGGGGCCGTCGCTAAGTTGGTGATCCTTATTAAGACTTATTTGCTTAAGATGCCATTTTTTTTTTAAGATTATAATTTTCGAATAGCACTTTGTTACAGATTGTGGTGATAAAATATTTTTTTGGATGTGAAGTTATAATCCAGGTATTTATAAAAAGAAGTCAAAAATAAAAATATTCCCAAATTTTAATGTTTTTTAAAAACTTATTTTTAAACCACAAAATTTCCCAAAGTTTTTAATTGAAACCTTTATCTTCAAAACCAAATAGAAAATAGAAACTAAGTTGAATTTGCAACCTCTTGTACATGAGACAACAGTCAACCAACTGAGCCACACCAGCCTGGCTGGCCTCGGTTTTTAAAAAGAATATATTCAATTCTATGTAATATATATAAAAAAATAAATAAAAAAAGTAAAAACTAATGACAATTTAAGAATTATTGTGGGAATTGAGTCTGGTTTATTTACATTAAATGTTCAACCCAAAAGAATTAGCCAAACAATAATGGTACATGTAGTGTAGAATTGGCTGAAGAATATTTAAAAGCAAAAAGAAAGGAAGGAAGGAAGGAAGGAAGGAAGGAAGGAAGGAAGGAAGGAAGGAAGGAAGGAAGGAAGGAAGGAAGGAAGGAATAGTGGTCTTACTTAGAACATCCATTTTAAATGTCTCTAACTTCTCTCTCCACAGGTGCATAAGAATGTGACTCTACAGGTTCCAGTGGGACTGACTATACATACCACTTTAGTATGTTCTGTCACTCTGCTTATTACCATCCTGTGTTCTACTTTGATTCTTGTGGCTGTTTTCAAATATGGCCATTTCTCCCTATAAATTTTCTGCAATTAAATGTTTTCCATAAACCTAAATAAGACCCTGTCGTTTGTGATCAGAAGCATTCTTATAGAATTGTCATTGCTTTTATCTTTTTGTCTTCATTTTTGGTTAAAATTATGTTTACTGGAGGAAATTTTGGATCATTTTCAACTAATTCCAAAATTGAGTGCTCTGTTGTGTAGACCTGTGATAATCTTCAAGCATCGAGTGCTAGTGGAGAAAACTTAATTATTACTATTTATTTTGTGAGAAGTGACTTTTATCCTCATTTGGGTTATAAAAGTGAGTTCTTTCTGTATTAGAGACAAATTATTCTCATTTTGTTAATAGAAACATTTCAATTTAAGCTAAAAATTGAGAAAATCATTATAAATAAGAATAAAATAAGTTAGATGAATGAGTTTATTTAAATCTTAATTTTATGAGATATTGAAGTCATCCAGATTTTCTAAGAAAATATTAATATCAAAATTGATTATTCTTTTTTAAAAAAATATATTTTATTGATTTTGTACAGAGAGGAAGGGAGAGAGATAGTTAGAAACATCGACGAGAAAGAGTCATCGATCAGCTGCCTCTTGCACACCCTCTACTGGGGATATGCCCGCAACCAAGGTACATGCCCTTGACCGGAATCGAACCCGGGACCCTTCAGTCCCCAAGCCGACGCTCTATCCATTGAGCCAGACCGGTCTCGGCAAAATTGATTATTCTTTAAAGCATTTCCATTTTTCTTTTATATGTTACGTTGCTTAAAAAAATCTATACTAGTAAAAGGGTAATATGTAAATTTCTCAGGATGCTCTCACAGTAACAACCAACAGTAGGCTTTGTGGAGCTACAAAGCCAGCAGAGTGGTTAGTGAGGGATGACCAAACAACTAAACAGCAGGCTGCATGTGGTGACTATGCCTGCAGGGTGCTCAGTGAGGGGCAACCAGGATGGTGGGGAGGGGGCAAGGGGCAACCAGGCTGGCAAGGGAGGCAGTTAGGGGGAACTAGGCCAGCATGGGGGGCAGTTGGGGGTGATCAGGCAGGCAGACAGGTGAGCAGTTAGGAGCTAGCAGTCCTGGATGGTGAGAGGGATGTCCTGGATTGGAGAGGGTGCAGGCTGGGCTGAGGAGACGACGACCCCCCCCCCCGCCCCCCGTGTACAAATTTCATGCACTGGGCCATATATATATATATGTGTGTGTGTGTGTGTGTGTGTGTGTGTGTGTGTGTGTGTGTGTGTGTGTTTATTGATTTCAGAGAGAGGGAGGGAGAGATAAACATCAATGTTGAGAGAATCATCCATTGGCTGCTTCCTGCATGCCTCCTACTGAGAATTGAGCCAGCAACCCTGTCATGTCTCCTGACCAGGAGTTGAACCATGACCTTCTAGTTTATTGGTCGATGCTCAACCACTGGGCAATACCAGCTGGGTTATATTGCTTTTTAATATATGAATTATCAAAGGACTTGATGAAACTAAGTACTAAGATTTAGTTCTGACTTAATACTGAATTTGTCAGGAAGACAGCTCAGAAAGAGTGTATTTTATTAAGTTATACATTTGCAAAAAATCTTTTTGTATCTTCAGGCAATTTTTTAAAAAAAATTTTATTGATTTTTTACAGAGAGGAAGAAGGAGGGATATAGTTAGAAACATCGATGAGAGAGAATCATCGATCAGTTGCCTCTTGCACACTCCCTACTGGGGACGTGCCCACAACTAAGGTACATGCCCTTGACCGGAATCAAACCTGGGACCTTTCAGTTCACAGGCCAATGCTCTATCCTCTGAGCCAAACTGGTTTCGGCTCTTCAGATAATTTTTAAAAAAAATTAGAGGTCTTGATTTAGAACCAAAAGACTATATTAATAAATACAACTATGCTAAAAAGAATAAAGTCATTGTTTGTTAATAGTCTCAGAATTCTGTACATACATATATTACATTTCTACATTTTGAATACACCGCACATCAGCTTCTGCATTAAGTTTGTGACAAATTTGTGCTGTTCTTAGTGTATGCAAGACACTTGACTTTATTGTTTTAATCTTTTATGTAAAAAGTGCAATATGGACTTATATAGTCTTTACTATGTTAGATTTATAAACTGTTGTTTTGGAGAATGTAATTGATAAATCACAAATCTTAGTGAATAATGGTGTGATTTAAAGCTGTCACCAGCCCGAGCTGGTAGCTCAGTGGATAGAGCATTGGCCCAGGGATTGAAAGGTCTCTGGCCTGTACCTCAGTTGCAAGCTTCATCCCCGGAGGGAGGCAACCAATCTATGTGTCTCTATCTCACATTGATGTTTCTCTCTCTGTCTCTCCCCTTCCCACTCTCTAAAAATCAATGGAAAAATATCCTCAAGTGAGGATTAACAAAAAATTAAAAAATAAAGCTTTACACTAGTATTTTGAGACATTAATTTAGTAATTTTATATTGGAGGTAGTAAGAGTTTTCAATTTTAATTAGAATCTCTGCCCTCCTGTAATTAAACATTCTGTACCACATCTGTATTCAAAATAACATTGCTGATTTTTTTGGAAAAGTCTTGGTTTATTGTTTTACTTTGGGAAAAAAATAGAAAATAAAGTATGTGCCATAAGCCAATTAAAAAATAAAAGGGCAAGCATGCCCTTCCATTTATTTAGGGCAATTTTTTTAGGGCAAATATGTTCTAAAACCAAAACCACTAAAACCTTGCTATGTTGGCATTGTTGGTTTTAAATAAAAGGGATGTGATAAATGTGTTTATGTACTATAACTGATTTCTAAAACATTCTGGGTTTTCTGTTTGTTTGTTTGTTTGTTTTTTGTTAATCTTCACATGAGGACGTTTTTTCCCCCATTGATTTTTTTTAGAGAGAGAGATACAACGATTGGCTGTGTCTCTCCTGCACTAGCCCCTACTAGGGCTGGAGGAATCTGCAACCAAGGTACACATGCCCTTGACAGGAATAGATCCTGTGACCGTTTGGTCTGAGGGCCGACATTCTAACCACTGAGCAAACCGGCCAGGGCACTGGCCTGGTGTCTTTATGGGAATCTTTTATAATTTGACATGTATGGCTTGACTGACTAGTCATAACATTTCTTTTTGAAGATGTGTTTGAGAATTTAAATATTGAAAAAAGCAACCCAGTGCCATAAAGCAGAAATATTAGAAGTCTTAAAAATGACTAAAATTTCCACCCTGTCTAAATCGTGGCTTGGAACATGTTTTAGCCATTTACTCATTTATATAGCTATTCAAAGGTATTAAAAATGTGTATGTCAGTGAAGAAGACTTGGATATGACCATTCCTGCCTAATAAGTGGTTGCAGGTGACATTACTTTAATATATATGTATGTATGTATTTTTTTTAAACATTTTTCTTTTTCTCTTTTTTTAAAATATATATTTTAATTTTTTATAGAGAGGAAGGGAGAGGGATAGAAAGTTAGAAACAATCAATGAGAGAGAAACATCCATCAACTGTCTCCTACACAACCCCTACTGGGGGTGTGCCTGCAACCAAGGTACATGCCCTTGACTGGAATTGAACCCAGGACCCTTCAGTTCGCAGGCTGACACTGTATCCACTGAGCCAAACTGGTTTCTGCTATGTATGTATGTATTTAAAGTAATGTCACCTGCAACCACTTATTAGGCAAGAACGGTCATATCCAATGATCATATATACAGTGTTTTTACTAGAGACCTGATGCATGAAATTCATGCAAGGGGCTTGGCCCTTGTACCTCGGCTTCATCTGGAAGGTCCTTCGGTTCTCCGGTCTAATTAGCATATTATGCTTTTATTATTATAGATTGATTTCAGAGAGAGGAAGGGAGAAGGATAGAGGGATAGAAACATCAGTGATGAGAATCAATGATTGGCTGTCTCCTGCATACTCCCTACTAAGGATCAAGCCCAAAACCCAGGCATGTGCCCTGATCAGGAATCAAACTGTGACCTCTTGGTTCATGGGTCGACACAACCACTGAGCCATAGTGGCTGGGTCAGATGACATTACTTTTGATAGAACATTTCTGGTTTTGAACTCTGTATATTTGGATATTTTAAAAATGAATAAGCACTTTATTTGTAAAAATCAGTTTTTTGGTTATGTATATCATTTTTTTTTTTTTTTTAGGGCCAAGAAAATGGGTACTGTTCTCTTGGTTATTATGATCCAGTAATTGTTTTACTTTTGTGGTTAAAGTATTATGTTATGTTCTTTTGGGTGAAAATGACACAGACAGGAAACCTCTACTAAGGGGGAACAGAGGTGTGTGTGTGTGTGTGTGTGTGTGTGTGTGTGTGTGTGTTTCTCAGCCACTCTACCAGGAATTGAGATATTTTAGCTATTTCTCATGGCGGCTGGTATATACATGGCTTGGGAACTAGAAAAATCTATTGCAGCTCTAATTATTTCAGAATATAATGAGTTTCAGGATTATTCTAGTCAGATATTCTATTCATTTCAAGCTATTCACATATATTTTGGTAATTGATTCTGATTCATATGATATGGAAATAAAGAAATTAGAGTTAGGTGACCAACACCTATCTGTATTATTCCCCATACTCAAAATATGCTATTGGCAGATTATTGAATGTAAGAGGGTTTTGGTAGGCGGAGAGACAGTGAAATAATATGGACTAAGCATGCCCTTCAGCATTGTCCTAATCAGTGATAGGATGGTAGGTTTAGCTGTCTACCTGATTTTTTGCATCTCAGACCTTACTTCTGGAATCAGTTTCTTCCTGAAGTATATATTTTTAAGGAGTTCCTTCCCCCCCCCTTTTTTTTATTGAATTTATTGGGGTAACATTGGTTTCAGGTGTACAATTCTAGAATACATCATATGTATTGTGTGTTCACCATCCCAAGTCAAGTCTCCATCCATCACCATTTATCTCCTATACCCTCTTCTACCTCCCCAACTCCTTTCCCCTCTGGTACTCAAGGAGTTCCCTTAAAAGGTCTCTGTTTTGTAACATATCTGCTTTTGTT